GCCCCCCGGTGTCTGAGGGGCGAGGGGAGCTCCCCTGGCTTGGGAGGCAACGGCTGGCGGCAGGCAACAACCGGCTTTATTGGGTACCCTAAGCCGTGGAGGTTTGGTAGCAGAGGATAATGCATCTTGAAACTGTTTACTTGTATTTCATTAATCTAAGGATTGGGGAGGCATTAGGCGCGCAGACTATGTGCGCTTAGCAAAGGCAAGCATGCTGTGATGGCCACAAACTTTAGGGACAGACACTGCTGTTCTGGAGACGCTGCGATGAAGCATTAGTCTGAACGCTGTCAGCCCTCGTCGTTCTCTTGTTACAGCGTTAGCATTATGCTAATTGTCCTTGGGCAAAGCAGAAATTCTCCAAAAGTGTTTTATTTTCCTGCTAAAGTATCTATGAGTTGATACAGTGCACAGCACAGAGCCATTACTGTCAGGCATATAAATAATTGTGTCTTAATGCACAGCTTATGTTAATACGTCTTTCGTGACTATTTTTTGAACGACTGGATTATTGACCCTCTGCACAGAAATGCCAGACCTAACTTGAACCGTAAAAGAGCAAATAACAAATAAGGGTTTGAGGTTGTTTGAAAGCATTTTTCCAGTTTTGATTGCTGGTGAAATGACAATAATTTTTGCAGTCCCAGGAACAATTATATGCAGTTGTGAACGGAGCAAATTGACTTGGCATGGAGAGTAGATGAACCTCCTGCGATCTCTAGATTATTACTATTATTGTTATTGTAGGCCAGTGGGAGCCAAACTATGTCTTTGCTTGTTCTCCTTTGATATTTTTTTTTTTTTTTTTTTTTGGGTGGGGTGGGAACTTGGACATTGAGCTTTGATGCATTTTCAGCACCAGGGATCCAAAGTAATTTTCTTACTGAACTGTGCAGTGAAAGGCATTTGTGTTTGGAAATGGAAATTTGCAATTGGGAGCGAGAAAGGGGCTGTCACAGGGGCTTCATGGCAGAACCACATCATTAGATGTAGGTTAGCATCTTAGAGCAGCCTTATAGAAAAATGTGCTCGTTTGTTTCTTAAAACCAAAACTGAACTTTAACGTTCAGCTCTGGTTCTCATATCTGACTTTGCTTAGCATCTCTTTTTCAAAGAAAAATTTACTTGGCTTGTTCTCACAGAATTACTTTAACTTTGTTATGTCTTTTCTGGATAACCTGCTTTGGCTGGGTGATGGGCTTAATGAGCTAATAGCTCTTTTATGGCTGTAGCTTCTCTGAGCCTAGAAAACATAAGGATTTTTACGGTCTATGACATGGAGAGACTGCTACATACTGAGAACATTCTCTACTCAATTTCATGTGTCCTTTGCTTAATCTGACTGCCAAACCGCAGAAGTCTGTTTAAAAGCATTGGGGGGATGTGCACACATGTGACGACTATTAGGAAGTAGAGTTGGTGTTTTATGGGCTGTGGCTCACGCTAATTAGGGCGACTCTGCAGAGTGAGCCGTTTGTGGCATGCCACCTTTCAACTCCTCTTTTTCAGGTGAGCTGGGTACTGCTGATACTCAGTGGTTGCAGTTTAGTATTAAGTCAAATTTGGTGTCTTCAACCATACTTCTGAAGAGGACTGGAATAATTGGGTGTCTTTAAGCATCCTTTGAAGAAGAATTGCAAGAATTGGAGTCCTGTCTCCTAGAAGTAATCCTAGAACTGCATGGGTCTTTTTCATAGTAACTTCTTATCTCATTCCCGGTCTCTTGCCACCTTTAACAAGCAGCAGTCCCTAAAGTGGGGGGGCCTTCTTTGGGCCTTCAGAGAGTCAGGAAACCCATCGGAGCACTCCTCAGCATTGAGCTGAGCTTCCCTAGAACTAAGTGAGTTGAAGTAAGTTTGAGAATTGTGGACTGCTTCTCTCATGTGCTTCTGGAGCAGTTTGTCATGTAAGGCTTTGTCATGGGGCATTGCAGATAATAATCCCGCTTCTTGGTTAATGCAGTTACAGGGGTTCTTCCTGTGATCTGAGCAGCTTTGATCACTATTGGATTGAGGCTTTTTCTTGGCATTTTTTTGTGGATTTAGACCTCCAAAATGCAGCTAGGCATGATCGCTCCATGGCATTGTTAGATTGTAGTAGTAGATCCTGCTTCCTATTCTCCTATCCACAAAATGTAAAGGAAAATATTGCTGCTTGTTTAAAAAACAACCCCCAAAAGTCCGTTAAGTGACCTGACTGACTGAACTACTCTTAAAATACTTTTATAGCTTGAGTGGCCATATGACCTCCTGCAGCTCATGTTGGCAGATTGTGTCTTTTGTGACCTTGTCTCTGTAATTAGGGCTGTAGGAAGGAGTCGTGGGATCTCTGCACTCCTACTGGTAGCGTGAGAAACCAGTGGCTGAGTGTGGGTGTTTTTCTGGTGGTGTGTTTGTGGGGGTTTTTTTGTGTGTGGTTTTTTTTGTTTGTTTACACATTGTGGGTTGCTGTAGAAGTTGTGTGAACCCTCAGTCTGGAGGCTTTTCACCTTTCACTACTCTTCACCTCCTGTGTTTGTCCCCTTCTTCTGATTTTGCTTGTTTCTGCATACATGTAGCTAATCACCAGAACTGAAGACTTTGGGCTTTGAAGATCTGATTTGCCAGTTAGGTAGCAGTTGTGTTCAAGGGTAGTGAATTGTTGTTTAAATTCAGGACTTCTTCTAAGAACTTTTCATTGAAGGTTTGTTTTGGTAGTGTTGATCATGACTTTCAACCTTTTATAAACCTGTGGATAGCCCCGTTGGCTCTGTTTGGAGTAAAAACCTCTGTTTCCTCTTGCTTCCTGTGGTCATTTAGAGTTTTTTAGTGTTATCAGTTTTCACTCCATCTCTGACTAACACCTCAGAATCAAACGTGATTGATACCATATTCAGTGATGTACTCCTTGAATCTCAAAAAAGCCAGAGAGAGAAGTACCGTAAGAGAGAGTCTTGCAGGAATCTTGAAATGAGTGATTAAATAGGACATTCCTCAGGAACTGGAATGTGACATGGAAGACTTAACGAATAAATATGTAGCAGTAGAGAGCCAGAGTGAGAGGGGAAGATAAAAAACCCAACCAAATAACAACCAAAAAACCCAAACCCCGACAACCATGCAAGACTAAGCTTAGCTGCTGTTTTCTCAGGCATGTTCTCCACTCAGAGTCTATTAAATCCTGCAGATTTACTGTTGGGCTTTCTCTAGCCCTGGTTAACTACTCAGAAGTGTGTCATTCATCCCATTCCACAAAAGGGAAAGAAAAGTGGCTCCCTCTGGAGCTAGCTGGTGTGACTTTGGAAGGACTTCCTTTTGCTCTAAAGCTTGCAGGCTCAAGGAGCAAAGACTAATCTGGAATCTTGATTTTTCTTTTCCCCTTGATTTTTTGAGTGCGTAGCTTTGTGCCCTTCCCCCCTGCCCCCCCAATTGGATAT